GATTGAGAAAAGTGCATCCAACAAGCAGTAAGTCAACACAGCAGTGCTGTAGCTGCTGCAGATTTTATTTTAGTAGAAGAACGACGATGAACGTCAAACAACGAGTAAATTAGGCTAGACCATAATTTCTACCCAACTTTAGGTACTTCCATCCCTTCAAGTTTTATTTTCCTAAAATCAGTTCACTGAAAACCTCTACAATAGCCATTGATGTGCCATTTGCCACGGTACTTTTGAGTGCTGTCTCCCGGAATTAGTAAAGCAAGGTGTTGAAGAAATCAGCAAGGTAATTTCTGGCGGGAAGAGGGGTGAGGTACAGGGAAGTTGTACTCGCTGGCTGTTTTCTTGAGCAGTTGCTATTTCAAGGTGAAGGTACAGTCCTGTGGAGTAACTTAGAGGCTATATAGGGACATGGTATTGTGGACTAGCCAATTTCCCTCAAAACGCGGCGAGATGTCATTACAATAAGAGATCGGGAGCTCATTGGGAGAAAGGAGATTTGGAGACTTTTAGAATGGTTCTCTCGCGTTGCTGCAGCCATCTTCGGCACTTACCAGGAAAGGCATTCAACTTCCCATGGAACTTTGAGATGAGACCCAGATATATCGATAGAGCTTCAAACGCTGATTACAAATATGGAAACTAAAACTGCAAAATGAACCTGCCAAGGAAGTTGTGAGCAGTCAAAGTTGGCTGGAAGTAAAGCATTACTAGCCTCCGGGCTTTCAGAGTCGCCGCGGAGCAGTGGTGGTGCCCTCGCTATTCACCCTGGAGGTCATAAGCTCTCCTCCCGTCGGAGCGCAAATTCCGAGAGCACTACCACTACTCCACGGCGACTTTGAAAGCCCGGAGGCTAGTGTAATGCTTTACTTCCAGCCAACTTTGACTGCTCACAACTTCCTTGGCAGGTTCATTTTGCAGTTTTAGTTTCCATATTTGTAATCAGCGTTTGAAGCTCTATCGATATATCTGGGTCTCATCTCAAAGTTCCATGGGAAGTTGAATGCCTTTCCTGGTTAGTTTCACGATGACATTCATAATTCTTGTCTGCATATAGCAAAGCGGTTATCAAAACAATCAATCCAACGAATGATGGTCCAGGGT